GCCTGAGGATATCGCTAACATATTCCTGGTGGCTATTTGTATTCTAAAATGTAAATTTTGTTATGGAAAATATTGCAACAAAACCCAATTTACTTTATCTTTTTGTTTTAATTTCAAGGGTGTTATGAAAAGAAGAGACCAAATACAAGCAGAACTGGATTCCAAAGTTGAAGCTTTGACCAACAAAAAGGCTGATGCTGGTCTGGTATGACCTTAAGTTTGTTAATAGAGTCACTTAGAATTCATTGTCTAAAATGTCCTTGAAAACATAGAGCTTCATTATGTGATTATTTCTAAGTATTCAACAAATATACTAAATTTCTCCTGAAATGTATCTATCACATATTGAGTGCTGTGTGTCTTCAGGCCCAGCAATGATGTTTTTCTGCCTTTCTGACTTACATTGACTCAGACCGTAAGGACAGTGGGAATTTGATGTTTTTAAAGGGACATGATGTGTTAGAACATCTGTTGAGTGCCCTGCATCACTGCAGGCCAGTACTTCGTGAGCGAATTCATGTTTCGCTAGTTTGATAAGGTAGTAATACAAAATAAGGTAATTTTTTTGTATGCTAGTTATTGTCAAAATCTTAAAAAATAAACTATATTTTGTTTCCATATATACTCTCTTAACAATGTAGATGTTTGCAACCATGAAATGCAGTGTTATAATGCATTCTTAGATTTGGCCATCATGGACCCTCATTCATTCTCACTTTGGACCATCATTTTTGACTACTCTTCTCCCTTTTTCCTGGAATATTCTAAAGCAATGAATTTCTCACATTACATTGTCTTAGCCACATTTTACTATTTGTATTTTACTTTATTTTCATATCTTCAGCATATTACTACCAGATTGAAATTAGTATTTTCATTTTAAAATTGTGGAATAGGTGGAAGGTAGAGAGTCCCTCCCCTGTGTCTGTGGTTCCTCACCTGTGTATATGTAGCTGTTGAAACACAGATACAGGATTGGGGTGGGGTGGGGGCAGATACTGTTAGTTATGTGCATCAGTCCATACTGCTTCTCACAGTGAATGTATGGAAGAGAGAAGTTGACTCTCCTTCTCGTTACTTATATTGGATACTCTATAGAGGATACATTCTTAATTTAAAAATATTTAGATTGGCATTGAGTACAGTATTAAGTGCACTTTGGTCAAGTTGGTGGCAGGGGATTCCTCAAAGCCACTTGAGAACCTGTAGTGCTGTGACCTTCTCTATCAGATCTGGCAAGGGAATTCCATTCCTCCCTTTTGCATTGATTTTCTCCTTAGCTTTAATCATTTTATAGCATATTATTTCAACCTCATTCATAATCTCCTCCCTCCCTCTTTCTCTCTCACTTGTCCTTCCCTCCCTGCTTTCCAGTCCATAATCTAACCACATTATGGGAAGGAATTTGTGATTTGTTTACTGCCTATCCAGTGCTGGTCACCTAACAGATAGTGACAGAATAAGAATCATGGCAACTGCTTTGCTCCATGGAAACATACTGAAGGCTGAAATCAAGAAGTCTCTTTAAATTCAATTTTGTGCTGAGACTTCTTTAAAATGCAACTTTGAATTTGACTCATATGTTTCTTAACTTTGTATATTTTCCTAAACTGAAATTTTGTTCTTCTAAGTAAAATATGAGTTGGGGCAGGGGTAATGGTGGGCTGCTGTGAAAGAGTTAGAAAAAGGAATTCATAAGTGAAGATAAGAAGAAATATATAACTATGTAACTGAAGGAGATAGTCATATTTATCTCAAGATGAAAAGAGAAGATGATCACCCAAGGCAAACTAGCTCCTGTGTGTGTGTGTGTGTGTGTGTGTGTGTGTGTGTGTCCATCCATCTGTATGTGTCTGTGTGTCTGTATGTATTTCCTGTTTAGAGTTAAATAGAAGGGGAAGGTGATTGGAGAGATAGATAGATAGATAGATAGATAGATAGATAGATAGATAGATAGATATAAATTGTATTTGCATCATTTGAACTTTAGAAATCGTTTCTATTTGTTAAATGATGTTAAAGAGATTCAAACTAGGGGTAGGCAAAATTTTGTGCTTGACTAAATACTAGAGACTGTTTTTTTGAAGAATAGCCAGGTGTGGTGACACACGCCTTTAATCCCAGCAGAGGCAGAGGCAGGCAGATCTCTGAGTTAATGGCCAGCCTGGTCTACATAGTGAGTTCCAGGACAGCTGGGGCTACAAGGAGACCCTGTCTCAAAAAGACAAAAAAAAAAAAAAGAAAAAAAATTTTTTTTGAAGAATAGTAACATGATTTTCAAGTCCACAAATGACCTACACACATATTTTTAAATGACAGGAAGTTTCATTGGGACTGTTCCAGCTTCAAAATCACAGGAAGCACAACAAGCTTAAATCTGATCATGACTAGGATTTTCCTAATGCAAATTTTTAAAGATATGTAGTTATTCATTTGGCTTTCAAATATTATTTTCTTATTTCTCCATACCACTTCTTTGATATCTTATTATAGCCTAATGGTCAATCTGCATATATAATTTCATTTGTATATGCATGAGAGAGAGAGTGTATGTTTGTGTAATGCCCGCTGTATTTAATAACCTCATGTTGTTGTAAAATTGGGGAAATTTGAAACTTTAATTATGTGCATTAAATTCTATGACATATTTGAAAGAGGTATGTTTAAAGGGATCATTACAAATTTCTTTTTGATTTGTGTATATTCATTGACAGGTGTTTAAAAATTTGTTGTTGTTTATTCTTTTACTATCCATCAAAACAGAGTCTTTATATAATTTGCAAGGATTGATTTAATGATTTGTGAAATTCCCCATTTGCATTTTAAAATAATGTGTTTACAAGTCATTTCACTTCTGAATGCCTACATGTCATGATGTGTCTTTAGTAACCTTCCAAGTCACCCACAAATAAATCTGCCACCACTGGTCACTGAACAACCAAAAAGAAGTTGCTTAGAAATGTGCAGGATGGAGTCTCCATGGAAACCTGCCCTGGTGAGGTCCTTCTAAGAAGCAGCCTTTGCAGTCACCATGGCGACCCTGGCAGAGAACTGAATATAGCAATCTGTCTGGTTGTTTACCATGGCAACTGAGATGGGACCACTTTGGAGACAGCCCTGGGGCCATTTCTATGGAGACCTGCAGCTGCCTTTGGAGGCTTTATCAGTAGCTTTGGGGTGGGATTCTAGATGCAAAGCCATTAAAGCAACACATTATGAGAAGGTCATGACATGAAGCTCCACTATGTAGGGCAAAAATTAGGAGGGTTGTGTTCACTGGGTAGAAAGATAGCAGTAGAATAGCTTTTCCAACATCATGCTGAATATGTCAGCTGACCTTTGAGCATGTTGGGTAGTGTGTAAATACAAGACTGTAGTCTTTTTTCCTTTACCTGTAAACTGCATGCATGCAGTAACTAATAATGATATTACCAACTACTGTTACTCATCACAGAAATATGCTCACCACAGTCCTGCGGTTTTATATAAACTAAGCCTGTGTTTGAGAGTGAGTTCTTGCATTGATTACCTAAGTTCTTGTGAAGTGAATGCCTTTTAGAGTTTGTGCTGAGTAGCACTTAACCCTGCAGCATTACATGAATGACTTCAAAGTGACCTTTGTTTTGCTTCATAAGATATTTAGAATGCTCATTTCAAAATCAGCTCATTTGTTTACTTAAAGTTTTGTTATTTATACTTTGGAATTAGATAGATTAGAAACAAATCCTAGCTCACCTGCTTATTAACTTTGACATAGCACAAATTTTGTAAACTTCCTTTATCCTCTTTTGCCACCTATAATTAGGAGAAATTGTTAGTATCTTTCTAATAGGCATATTTAAAGATTGAATGATATAATGGAAGTAAACTGCTATATTATAGTAAGATCCCAGTAACTGCTAGCTGTTGTTGCTTTGATGAATAAATAGAAGTGGTATTTGAGTTAGGTCCTATAAAATGATGATTACATTGATGAGTAAGGAGAATGTTTTGTATAGAATGGGTCTTATTAAAGGTGGTATAAGTTCAAAGTCATGCTAAATTGGGAAACTGGAAGGATATATGGGGTCCAGGGTCAAGGCTGCCGAGAGGATGTGGTTTACAGACTGCCAGTCAGCTGGGCAGGGAGCCTCCTTTTTCATCAGATGAAGGAATGGAAATTTCATATTTGGGGAACTGGGGATCCAGTGAGACCCTGAACTGAAGAGGTAGCAGTGAGTTGCAGAGAGGAATTAACTGGAGAGAGAGGTAGTAGGAAAATAGATTCCTTGTTACTTCATGAAGGAAGGGTTGCACTACTGTCATCTCTAACTGGTAAGGCAGACATGTGTCGACTCTCCTCACTGAGCAGTAGACTAAGAAATGAAGAAGGAACTTGGAGATGTGCTGCTTGACATCACAATTGTATGACATTTAGGATAGAGGTATTCAACAAAAGCTTCTGAACCAAATTTGAGTACCTACCATGAGAGTCATATTGGAAGCAGAAGACAGGTCAAAAAGGCAGGTCTTCATGAGGCTCATGTTTCAGTGGGTGAAAAAAAAAAAAAGAGGTAAATAATAGTTCGAAATTACTGTTGTGTGGTGATGAGTATGGAGACAGAGATGGGAGCAGTGCAATTTAAAATGAGCAGTCAAGGAAGATCTAACAGAGAGCTAATGCTTAAGTATTATCCCCTGAGAGACTAAGCCTTTCATGCAGAGAGGACAGAGAACGCAAAGAGATGGTCTGACTGCAAATTCTAAGAAAAGCAAGACGGCCACAGTTGTTAGAATAAAATAAAATAAGTAAAGATGCATCAGAAGAAGTCAGAGAAGTAAGCAGACTTTAGAAGATGTAAGGTCTTTGAAGGGTTGGCTCTTAGTGAAAAAAGAAGAGGGCAGTTGTACAAAGGAGGGACACCATCACTGTACAGATGTAAAAGGGCTCCTCTACTGAAGATGAGCAGGAGATGATATCACTGTGTTTCTTGCAGGGACTGGGGAAAGCCAATGCTGGTAATTTTTATAATCCTAGGGAGGAAGAGATGCTTGGACCAGGGAGGAAAGGGTATGAAGTGATCAGATTCTGAGTATCTTTGGTAGGAAGAGCTGTTTGTTAGTTGGTGTGTTATGCAATGTGAGATTAGAGGAGGCAAGAAAGATTCTGGAATTTGGGTGCTGAGTGGATGGAATAGTATAATTGACATTAATTGGGATGAGAAA